GTCATCCAAAACGGCTCACGTAGGTACTCCTGGGAGGGGCGGGGTGGGTGGGGCCAGCCAGGAGTGGGATTTGGGGGTTCTCTGAACTGCACAGAATCTTAGCTAGAGGTTCTCCAGAACCCCTGCGAACCCACAGCAGCCCATATATATATATATATATATATATATATATATATATATATATATATATATATATATATATACATACACATTCATAAGATTCCCAGCAGTTGTCAAACAAGCACACTTTAATCTTCATTCTTTGAAGATTAAAAATATCCCATGTACTTTTCAGATCCTTTCCAGTTTAATACACTGTTTCTTTTGACTGATTTGTTTTTCTGAGTTGAACTTTCAGGACTCAGAACACCATATCACAATTGCACAAGACCTTTTGTGGAAATGAAAAAAGAGAAAAAGAAGAAAATCCATCCAACTTGCTTGTCAGGGCTTGTGCCAGTTAATTCCAAAATCTCCGGCTATGTTTTGTTTATTGGTTACGGGGGTTTTTTGGCACCAGATTAGTTCTTCAAATGAAGGCAGTATTTGGAGGCTGTGAGTGAATCTCTTTTGAGCTCTTAATGAGGCTAATCCCATGACAGGACATTCCAAGTAGCTAATGGGCGCAAGTTCATTGCTTATTTTAACATCTCATGGTCAAAAGTGGAATGAAAAACTTGTCTGGTGGGCAGTCATGGGGCATTAGTATTAGTAGAATGACCAGCCGCAGTGAAATTTAGACAGCACAAATAGATCAGAGAGAGCATGAGACAGACTCAGTGTGGAAGGAAAGGTAAACATTATTATTGTTGTTATTGTTTTTAGTCTTAATAACAAAATAATGTTAAAACCATATTCGCTCAAATGGTATAACATTTAACCTAATGTGTTTTTATTAATTAAAGCTAAAACAATAAAGACTAAAAATGTATGAAGATTATAAAACATCATTTACAGACTTCAGGAAGTGCAGTACGGTTTATTTTCATTTCTTCATTTTTGGCGATTTAAACTAAATAGCAATGTTTCTCGCAATTTGTCTTTCTTGCGATTTGTCTTTTGTACAGTAATAAATCAGTTCAGAGAGCAGAGCATTTTCTTTTACAATTGTATAGAAAAATATTAATAAGTAATAAGCTATTGGCAGCAAACATGAGACAAAACTAAATAGTGATAGACATTTTAAACCTAGGTAGTTTTTTATATATTGTAAACTGTAAGATATTTTTCGCACTTTATAATTGAATGTTAAAATATTTTCATTATTTTTTCTGATTGTCATTAATGTTTCATAGCAATTGGAGCATATATAATAATGCAATCATGTTTGTGTTAATGTCATAATTAGGGTGGATTTGATTTAAATCGAGTTGATCTAAATCACAATTTAAATCATGATTTAAATCACTAGTAAAAAGGCTTGATTTAAATCAACTCGATTTAAATCATAATTTTTAAAGAGCAACTGTCATCTCTGCTACTCCTTTGACCCACTGTTGACTCACCGATAGTCCCAGTGTTGCAGAATATACAGCCTCATGCTACATAACTAAGCTCCATTTCATGCTGAATGAACTAAATTATTTATGTATCTTAAATAGAAAACTATCTTACGATAGATTTTTACCCCAAAAGTTTTTTATTAAAATAAATTCGATTTAAATAAAAAAAATCTGATTTAAATAAAAAAAATCTGATTTAAATCAAAAAAATCTGATTTAAATAAAAAAAATAAAAAAAATCATTGATTTTTATCCACCCTGGTCATAATTATTCTTTTGACCTAGTGATCAGTTGAACACTGCCTAGTGCCTACCAGACCATTACACACATGTCTCGCCTACCATATGATGCTCAAAGCAGAAGGCATGATTACATAGATATTGTTTGGTTTAACCAGTTAACTTTTCTGATGATTTCATAAAATGTTTTACATTTGATTTTTAAATATTTTTTTAATATTCCAGAAGGTGAATCCAAGTTACCTTTTAAGAACACCTGTACTTAACATAATTTTATTCTTTATTTTCAAGCTTCTAATCAACCAAAGGTTAACTAAATAAGTAAGCAAATGAAATTGAATAAAGCAAGAATATAAAGGGCAGCATTAAAAAAGTGAATCCTTAAATTGTTTTTTCCTACTCGGTTTCTGGTGACTAGGAAAAGCATTTAAATTTAAGAAATCAATGGTTTTGGTTGTTTATATTGTAATACACAAAGGGATGCAATTTGATTAATCAAGTCATATTTCATCTTTACTAAAGTTAGTAGATTGTATTTGATAATCACTATAAAACAGTTTGCATTTTTTAAGTATTTGTTAAGAATAAAAGCAGGCTATTACATGTTTTGCTTGATATCTAAATAAATGTTCTACCTAAGGATGAAGTTTTTGCATCCAACTTCATCACAGAGCATTAAAACAGTTTTTAAAAAATCCAATTTCCTCACCAGATAAGAATTAAAATGTACTAAAGGTACCAGGCTCCTGTGTCCAACCTCAGGCTAAAATATAAGAAGTAATAGAAACTATCCAAAACTCAGTGGGCTTTATCAAAATTAAAAGGAAATAGAAAGAAGAAAGAGGCAATTTTAAAATCAATGTACATAAATAGTGGCATGTTCAGTATGCGTCCAACACTCTAATTTTATAAAAAGCCACCTTGCTTAGAACTCCTATATTCTTGAACACTACCTTAATAATTCTAAAATTGTTGGTTAGAATCTGAGTTATTAAGTTTCCAACAGTCTTATGCTTAAATCTTACTGTTACATTTATTAAACATATATGCTACATTACTGTCAATGTTCCCCATATTTATATTCTGTAAGTAGCCTATGACCAAAGTTGATTTTTTAAATTGGTTTATATTGTCAAATACATTTTATATTTAAATAACATTATATCTTAATACAGTTTAAATATCAATAAGTTGTTTTGAGCATTTGTTAAAATGACTTCCTAAGGCTTAAAAGGTAATAATTTCCATTCATGGCTTGAGTGTTAAAATCTAAACATAATTTCTTGTTTTTCAAATAAGGGCTTTGTATTATGCAGAAACTAAAATTATGCATGCCTTCTATTGTTTTTACATTTCTCACCATTGGTAACATGAGTGATGATAAAAGTTTCTACTCAGAGTATACAATGAAAATGATTTTATGCCAGACAGGTAGTGTCTGTCTGTCTGTCTGTCTGTCTCTCTCTCTCTCTCTCTCTCTTTCTCTCTCTGTGTGTCTGCGTGTGTATGTGTGCGTTTGGTTTGGTTTATTGCTCCCTTTCAGGCTCACTGGATTTGCTGTGCCTGTGCTATATGAACAATCGTCTATTCATAATCATAATCATAATCATAAGTTTATTTGTCAAGCATATATAAGATAACAGGTTAAAGTATAAACATAATTTGAATACATGAAAAGAGTAAGTAAAAAAGGAATATTAGGACAGGGACGGTAGGCACGCTGGTGCACTTATGTACGCCCCTTACAGACCTCTTAGGAACAGGGTGAGGTCAATAGTAGACAGTTTAAGGTTAAAGTTTTGGGGGTTTGGGGAAGAAACTACAGAGTCAGGTAGTGCATTCCAGGCATTGACCACTCTGTTACTGAAGTCATATTTTCTGCAATCGAGTTTGGAGCGGTTTACCTTGAGTTTCTATCTATTATTTGCTCGTGTATTGTTGTGGTTGAAGCTGAAGTAGTCATTGACAGGAAGGACATTGTGGCAGGTAATTTTATGTACGATGCTTAGGTCAGACTGAATTATGAATTATTATGTCATTTCTTATATCCGATTATTTTAACAATGTCATTAACGAGAGTTATATAGTATATCTTGATGTTCTTCTATCACATGAGCAGCCCTACATAGTCATGGTGGTAGAAAAATGAGATAACATGTACTGTAGCATCATGAGCAAAGCCTACATTTTTAACATTCCATTGATGAATACAATATATAAGTGGCAGGGTTTGCATTGATATGTCACATAATATTTTAATCAAATGTCTATCCTGACACCTATGTTCCCAGCATACTGATCCATCCATCCCCTCTTCTTCCTGTGAATTCCTCCACTGTTCTTCCAAATCTGTTCCGAAGGTTAAGCAATTTTGGCTTGCGGAGGGGAAGGAGCGAAATCAGACCTCTTTGCCTAAGCTGCTATGCCTTTTATTAAAAGTGAATATAATGTAGAAAATGGCAAGTCGAAGTAGATAAAGGTAATGGTTGTGTTATGTAGCCTGTGGAGTTTCCATTCTCACAACCTTTTTCTTTCTGATCAGCTAAACCTGATACTGACATTTAATTAACCTTTAATATAGAATGCTTTAAAATTTGTAATAGAAATATGTGCCTACTCTAGATGTATCCTTAAAGGTATGAATATATAATGAATCTGGAGGGAAAAATAATTTTTGAACTTGGAGCAGCTGACAAAGCTTGCTGAGAATATCTCCCCACCAGAGCTCAACCTGCCTGCAACTTTATATGCCTACATTTCTGTGTGTTCTTCTTAATTATTTAACATTCTTTGCTGCATCTGTGTTCCTTGTTTCCCAAGTGCCTTCCATATGAATTGTGTGGTATTTTATACTCCCATGCTCCAGTCTAAAACTTATATGTCAGAATATAAAAAATATCAAGGTTCTCTGATGACCTTGAATTGTTTTAAAGAACAAAAATATTCAATATTCCACTATGCACAACAGATTTTTTAAAAAAGAGAATTCATGAAAGAAAAATAACACACCATCAAGGCCTTTCTTATCAGTTGGAGAATATTGATTTGTCATTTATTTCCATTAATCATATTTTATAGATTGTGTGGTATTAATATTAATAGAGCGTGCAGCCCATCATCTGGAAGGAATGCACTGGTGTGCATTAGAGCATAACACCATCCCTGAGTTGCGTTGCTGCCAGGCATCTGTTAAAATACTTCATGGCTCTTTAAAATTTAATAACAGCTTTTTTCAAAATTCATCTTGTTGCTTTTCAGGCTCAGAAGTCATGGATAGAGAGAGCGTTTTACAAAAGGGAATGCGTCCATATAATACCCAGCATCAAAGACCCCCATAGGTAAGAGTGCTATATTTGGTTACTTAATTTGCATTGAATAAGAAATTAAGCATGCTATAATATATACTGTAAAAAGTTAAGCCTTTGATATATGCTACAGGAAAAATATTTTTATATTAACAATAAGCAACAACTACTTTAAATATACATTGTACTTAGAATGTACAGTACACTGATTCATTTCTGATCTCCTCCAGTACCTCAGGGTGGAGATATGGTAGCTACGTTATGAAAAATGTTGAAATGATTTAAAAGAAAGAGAATAGATTTCTTTTTCCATTTAAACAGGAATGGATCATTTTCAAGATCACATGATCAGATCTTTGTGTCGTAGGACTGTACTTTTCCTCTGTGTTTCCATGTGTGGCCAAGGGCATTCCACAGGGCCTTTCAACTTTTGGAAAAGCTTTGAAGGGCATGGCAGGGAGAAAATATTTTTTTCTGTGGTGACTTTCATTTTACTGACAGATGTAAAAAGTTGGACCCAGCCCAGTACATTTAACTGAGAGAGAGAGTGATTGGCTCAAAGTCACCCAGCTGGCTTCTATCCCTAAGGCAGGACTCCCACTTACTAACCTGTTGTCTTAACCACTAGACCAGGGGTGTCAAACTCAATTTCATTGAAGGCCACATCAGGGTTGTGTTTGACCTGGAGGAGGGGTGTAGCCAGCTCGACATTATTTGTGTCAGGGGCGCCTGTGGTGGCCCAAGTGCTCTGCCAGCAAAAATGGGCTCCCAAGCTCCATTTTCGGCTGCAATGACCTTCTGCAACCCTCTGCCAGTGAAAACACAAGCTCCGTTTTCAGCTGCGACAGCATCCTGCAACCTTCTGCCAGCAAAAATGGAGCTTGTGAGGACCACCTGTGACCCATGCGAGCTCCTTTTTGGCTGCAATGGCATGCTACAACCCTCTGCCAGCGAAAACAGAGCGTGCAAGGGTTTCCTAAGTCCGTTTCCACTGGTAGAGGCACTGCAGGCCGGTCCTTTGCTGTTTCCAGGCCAGCCCTGTGGGCCAGATCTAAACACCCTGCAGGCTGAATCCGGCCCGCAGGCCTTGAGTTTGACACCCATGCACTAGGCCAAATTGACTCTTGTGGCTGCTCCTTTGCCATACTTTATCTAAAAAGACAGTAATAGTTGCAAAATGCAGTCTTTTAATTTGGCTTCTGATTTCTGAGAGAACAATAAGTAAAATATGTTTTAAATATATGGATGATTATTCTAAATGTATTTATTTGCATCAGAATAACCACAGCTTTGCCAGTCAATGTTATAATCTTATTTCCTCTGTGAAAATAAAGTAAAGTTTAACAAGTTTTTTGTTTGGTTTTGTGTGTGTGTGTGTGTGTGTGTGTGTGTGTGTGTGTGTGTGTATTATACTAATGAAACCTTTTCACAAATGCTAAGTTTTATACATGTTTACAGTTGACCTAGTTATCTATATCTCATTCTCCTGGCAAAATGATTACTTATTTCATGCAAGACTTCTAGTAACGTTAGTCTTCTGCTTTATTATAACAAAATATTAAGTAGTTTTTGCTTAATGCCATAGGTGTTGCTGTGGGCGCCTAATAGGTCAACATGTGGGACTTACTCCAAGTATCTCCATTATTCAGAATGAGAAAAATGAAAACCGGCTCGCTCGAAATGACATCCAGTCAGAGAAGTGGTCAGTCGGCAAGCACACACAACTCAGCCCCACGGATGCCTTTGGAACCATTGAGTTTCAAGGAGGTGGTCATTCAAATAAAGCCATGGTAATTTTTAAAAATGTTAATGTCCAAATGAATTTCTTACTTTCTTTGTTATACAGGGGTTTATTGTCTTGCAAAGAATATATCTCTCTAGGCTGCTATATAAGAACCATTATAATGATTTCTTATACTATATAGAGAAATCTATATATTACAGAAATCCATTAGTAACTTAGATAGACCCTTGCTGTCAAGGAATTTATTATCAAAGACAACCGTATTCAAACTACAATATGTTCCCTGGAACCTAGGGGTTCCATGAGAATCATCCAGGGCTTATATATGACAGTTCATTCTAAGAATTGTTACGATTTCAAATTTTTTAAATCTTCATTCCATTGTTTCATTTACAAGAGAAAAGTCTATGAGGAAACATATCTATTAATGCATTACACACTGATTTTTCACATTGAAAAATGTTCTTTGGGTATCTCAAGTTTGAAAATCACTGGCTTAAGAAAATCAATCAGGAAAGTCATAAAACAGAATTGAAAGAAACCAACAATGGGTAGAAAATCTGTGGGCAAGATAGAACACCCACATGTTTTGAGGTAAAAAATGTGGCTTTTCTTCTTGGTATCGCCATAGACAGCTGAAGGTACATGTCTGAAATAGTGGGAAGCTACTGATGCTCACTGCAAACGTTACAAACAAGGATGGATCAGTGGTCAGATTTTGGTTTTCAAATGTAAAAATGGAAATTTAGTGATAGTGTAGAATAAGAGTGAATTGGGAATAGTTATATCTAGGAATGAAGATTTATCAGAATGTGTTTGGCATTTTCAGCAATATTTCTGGGTTTCTGTTCTTTACTTTCTACACTTCAAATATTTTCTATAATTATAAAGCCAAGCCCAAATTCAATTGCTACATTTTACTTTGAATGCATTTCTCTCCTTATTAAAATCTGAAGGTATTTTACATTATATATAACATTTTGAAATGGACTTGGTCAATGGAAATTAATGTGATCTTGGAGTCGGTGAAAAGTAAAATTTTATGGACAACATATTCTTATTAGATTTTGTCAATTTTGCTAAAAGGAGAAGAAATTCTGCAATAGAAAACCATGTAATAAAAATTGTAGTTCTTAAAACTGTACTTAATACAGTATAGAATGACAAACTCCTTATTGCAGTGCAGTATACTGCATTTATTAAAAGAAGAAAGGATTTGTCCTTCTCTAATTTCCAAGGAAATTTCCAAGTACCGTTTCAGAGCAATGCAAATTTAAAATAGGTTACATGTGATTAGAGAAATTTTCAGGTTACCTGTGAAACTTTCAGGTTACCCCTTTCCAAAAGTATTTTGCTCTGAAAAGCTGTAGTTTCATTTATTTTACCAGCTGTATTAGTTTGCTTATTCTACAACATACATATACAAAGACAGAAAAGAGAGAGAAAGATTTATGAATTTAATTATTACAATGTAACAGTGTAGAATAAGTATGGTATAGTGGAGCTGCCTTTGAAGACCACACGGAAACTTTAACTGCTCCAGAGTGCAGCAGCAAACATAGTAATGGGGTACCCTAGGTTTGCCCATATAATACATCTGTTACACAAGCTGCACTGGATTCCAGTTTCTTTGCAGGTACAATTCAAGATGCTGGTCATCATTTTAAATCTCTATATGGCACAGGCACAGGTTATCTGCAGAACCATCTTTCCCTAATGACATATGTCCTACCAAGTCAAATAGGATGGGCATGTTCCTAGTCCCTTCCTCTAAATACCGCCATCTGATGGGAGCTAGGAAGCATGCCACTGTGCCCCCTGAAGTTTGGCAGGCATCCACCATAAGGTTTTGAAGAGTTGCCTTTTCCTCCAAGTATTGGGAGAAGACTAGATAATCACATAATAGAACTGATTTAGTACCACTTTTTGTTGTTTTTAATGTTTTAATTGGTTGAGTTTTATAGCCTTAATATAATTTAATGTATATTTTATATTTAATTTTAATAGGTCTTATATGTCATATACAGTATATTTTATATGATTGGGAGTTGTTCAAAGTTAATTGAAAGATGGACGGCTATATAAATGTTTTAAATAATCAAAGATGCATTGAACTTGCAATTCCATCTTAATAAAATTTAGCAAACATGCAGCTATGGGCATCTGCAGCAAACTGAGATTATGTAAGAATGATGATATGTGCAATGTCATTATAGTGCTAAACCCAGACTTGGGTACTTGCATCCCAACAATTATGTATATTGTAGGTTTGGTGCCATAATATACATTTTGTCACTTGCCTTCTCTTGCCTCTCTCCTGTGCTCCCAGAAGCACCGATGCTTTTGGTGACTCACTGTGTTCATTGTTCCTAAGGATTATGGGACTACAAAACTTTCTGGTGTCGATATTGCCAGGCCAGTTTTTCTGCTATGCTACTGATTATATAATTGTAAATGGAAGGCAAATAGTGTTCTGACATATGTTCAATTGTGTAATTGTAGAAGCAATGTAACCTAAGCGCCAGTCCCCCAAATGTCAGATTTCAACATTATTTTGTGTTAAATGAGAGATAATGATGGTGTTTAGATTAATGAGAATTTATTGTTAAGTTTGCTGACCTTAGATTCATGTCCTTCCCCCTTCTCATACCTTTTCCTTCAGCTCAACTTCTAATATTAATTTAATATAACCTTACTGTAAAAATCTAAAAGCTTCCTAAATCAATGTTTGAAGTTGGCTTGATTCAATAAATGGGAGTTAAAAGATTAATATAAACTTGGCATATCATTAAATGGCAACTTCTTAAAGAGATAATAACAATTAAGTTTAGAGGCATATGTAAATCATTTGAGGAAAGCAGCCTCTAATTATTCACACATACACACATGCACATACATACATCAGAAGACCATAGAGAGCCTTGAAACCAATATTGAGGGAGGATCCAATAGTTTGTATAGCCTATTGAAGACGCAAATTCAGGATGCTGTTTTGCTTGCACATGAAATGCTTTGTCAAATAAATTACACAGATTCACTGCCTTTGTACTTACATGAATGGACCTTGGCTTACATAATCCATTTTTTTCTATCTTTGGGATAATTACTACCATGGAGATAGAAGCAGTTTATCTGTATAAAGGTAGCACGAATTTCTTTAAAGCAACTCATAGCTTATTCTATGCATCTCACAATCTTGGAAAATAGGTATCTTATTGTATGACTTGTGTTTGTAAATGATCGATTCAAAATGGTAATCAGTATGCTGAGTAGGTTTTAAGGTTCTCATGAAGGAAGGCGAATATACATGTGCCACGATAATGTTGCAGGATCCAATCTGGGTTGGTCACCGGGACCAGAGATTTTGTCTACCGAGCTTTTGGACGCATGCTGGAACCCATCTTCAAGGAACTTCTCTCTAGCAGAGTGTGTGTTGTTCTGTGTGTGGTATTTTTAGTGCCTGGTGTATGTGGGTTTTTAGATGTTGATTGGGGTATGTTGATGACTGGCTTTTAAGTCATTAGCTGTCATTTGCTTGTGTTGCCCAGCCCTCACCTTCTAAGTACTTGATAGGCTGGTGGTAAATCAGCACTCCTGTTTACTGATGAGGGGCCTGTTTCCCAGGATTCAATCACTTCCCTGGCTGTTTTTGTGCCTGCTTATCCAACAATCTTAGTAGCTGCAAAATTGAATCACTGTTCATTGCCGTGTGAGGCTGCCAAAGAGTTTGGGTCTCCTCGTCTGACCACTTTCTTGTGTTCTTGCAATCTGGTAGTTAGCTTCCTCCCCATCTGTCCTACATAGTCACAGGGGCAATCCATACAGGGATTTGGTAGATTACATTGGAAATATCTCCCACCTCCAAGCGATTTTAAAATTCTCTTGATCTTATGCTATGTAAATATTTAATAGAATATTGCTTGATTTAAAAAAGACCTGTCTCATTTAATTGCAACACATTTCTTCCTATTACTGGCAAATTATTTTTGCTGATAGGCTTTTCAACATTTACACTTCACAATTAACAATGAAATAGATAAACTGAAGATGCTTGCATTAGTGCTTGCATTCCATTGCTAGCTCCTCCAATGAGTGACTTTCAGTTTGGTGCAGTGGTTAAGGTGCTTGTTCAAAAAACAGGAGATTGAGTTTAGCTACACCTTAGCCATGAAAGCCAGTTGAGTGACCTTGGGTTAGTCACTCTCTCTCAGCCCAACCAATCTCATAGTGTTGTGTTGTGAGGAAAATAGGAGAAGAAAGGAATATTATAATGTTGGTCACCTTGAGTTATTTATAAAAATAATAAAGATGGGATAATAAATAAATAGATATATTCTATGAACGAACTTAACATCCCTGATAATCACCATGGGGTGGTCACTGACTTTGAGCCAGACATCCTGGAATGTGAAGTCAAATGGGCCTTAGGAAGTCTGAGCAACAACAAAGCTAGTGGAAGTGACAGTATTCTAGTTGAGCTATTCAAAATCTTGAAAGACGATGCAGTAAAAGTGCTACATTCAATTTGCCAGTAAATTTGGAAAACTCAACAGTGGCCACAGAATTGAAAAAGGTCAGTTTACATTCCAATTCCAAAGAAGGGCAATGACAAAGAATGTTCAAACTACCACACCATTGCACTCATTTCACATGCTAGCAAAATTATGCTCAAAATCCTTCACTAGGCTCCAGCAGTATGTGGACTGAGAACTACAGAAGTACAGGCAGGATTTCGAAGAGGCAGAGGAACTAGAGATCAAATTGCCAACATACACTGGATCATGGAGAAAGGTAGGGAGTTCCAGAAAAATATCTACTTCTGCTTCATTGACTATGCTAAAGCCTTTGACTGTATGGATCACAACAAATTGTGGCAAGTTCTTAAAGAGTACCAGATCATCTTATTTGTCTCTTGAGAAACCTATATGTGGGTCCAGAATCAACAGTGATAACTGGACATGGAATCACTGATTAGTTCAAAATTGGGAAAGTAGTTCGGCAAGGTTGTATACTGTTGCCATGCCTATTTAACTTATATGCAGAGCAGATCATGAGAAAGGCAGGGCTAGATGAATCACAAATTGGAATTAAGATTGCCGGGAGAAATATCAACAACCTCAGATATGTAGATGATACCATTCTAATGGCAGAAAATGAAGAGGAACTAAACAGCTCTTGATGCAGGTAAAGGAGGAGAGTGCAAAAGTTGGCTTGAAACTCAACATTAAGAAAACTAAGATCATGGCATCTGGCCCTCTCAATTCCTGGCAAATAGATGGGGAAGAAATGGAGATAGTGGCAGATTTTATTTTCCTGTGCTCCAAGATCACCGCAGATGGGGACTACAGCCAAGAAATTAAAAGATGCTTACTCCTGGGGAGGAAAGCTATGGGAAATCTAGACAGCACACTGGAAATCAGAGACATCACTCTGCCAACAAAAGTGTGTATAGTCAAGGCTATGGTTTTCCCAGTTGCAATGTATGGCTGTGAAAGTTGGACCGTAAGGAAGGCTGAGCAGCAAAGAATTGAGGCCTTTGAATTATGGTGCTGGAGAAGACTCCTGTGAGTCCCTTGGACTGCAAGGCAATCAAACTGGTCTGTCCTAGAGGAGATCAACCCTGACTGCTCTTTAGAAGGCTGAAGATGAAACTCAAATACTTTGGTCACCTAATGAGAAGGAAGGACTCACTGGAGAAGAGCCTAATGCTAGGAACGATTGAGGGCAAAAGAAGAATGGGACGAAAGAGAATGAGGTGGATGGATGGAGTCACTGAAGCAGTCAGTGTGAGCTTAAATGGACTCAAGGGATGGTAGAGGACAGGAAGGCCTGGAGGAACATTGTTCATGGGGTCATGATAGGTCAGACACGACTTCACGACTAACAACAACAATGCCAGCATTTGCAAATCACCAGTATTCCTACAGATTAAAATAGTTAATTTAGAGTTAAATTAATGAATCAGTAGTAAGGACATGTGATGCAATGCCCAGAAAAATAAGGCATCCTTCACTTAATCCTCCAGGGAAAGATTGAAGGCAAACGAGGTCCAGGCAGAAGAAGAACATCATGGCTTCAAAACCTAAGGGACTGGTTTGAACAAAACTCAGCAGCACTTTTTCATGCGGTTGTTGACAAAAATAGGATTGCCAACATGATCGCCAACGAGCGATGACGGATAGAAGAAGAAGAAGAAGAAGTAAGGACATATGATGGGAAACGATTTTCTCATAATCTGATCCAAAAGCTCAGAACCCCAAGTACTGATGTGGCATACTCTTCACAACCATTTTTGATTAAGCATAATGATGAACCTTGAAATGCATGATGAACTTTGCATCATCATGATCATAATCATCATGATCAGGAAATGTATGGTCAATCTTGTATGATGAAGTGCATGATGTACCTTGAAATGAAATGAAATTTTCAGGTTCAGTGCAGGGGTGAAATGCTACCAGTTCAGACCGGTTCAGGCGAACCAGTAGTAATAAAAGCTACCAGTTTGGGCAAACTGGTAGTAAAAAAATGCTACCGGTTCAGACGAACTGATATTTCTGACGATCAGCTGTGCCGCGTGATTTATATTCGCTAGAAAGCAGGAAATCCTGCTTTCTAGAGAATCTAAATCACGCGGCACAGCTGTTCCCCCCTCCCCGCTGTTCTACTTACCTTAGAAAAGGCTTCTTAAGCCTTCTTTTTCAGCACTGCACAGTAGTGCCTGCGGTGCATCTGCGCACAAAGCACACGTTTGGCACGCACTGTGCATGCGTGTGCAAAGCATGCATTTGATGCGCACCATGCATGCGCGCATGCAGCAAATAAGTAGCAGACCTCGGAGGATTTCACCACTGGTTCAGTGTTAGCTATCTTACATACAATGTTTAGTAACTTGTTGTAAATTATTAGTTTATCTTATAACCATAGAGAACATATAACAATTTCATGGAATTGTCTTACTTTATTACAAAAGCCCCATTGATAGAATTTCTATTTAGCTAATTGTTACCATTATTACATTTTGATCCCATTGGGTTTTTTTTCTTTTTAATATTTGATCAACTCAAGATGATGAACATACTTAATATCCTTGCCTCTTATTTTTCATGTTACCAGAGATGGAGCCAATATGTTTATTACAACTTAACTCTTTTTTGTTTTTCATTTTCAATCCATGCCCCTTGCTCTCTAGTATGTGCGGGTGTCTTTTGACACAAAACCTGATCTTCTTCTACACTTGATGACCAAGGAATGGCAGCTTGAACTACCGAAGCTCCTCATCTCAGTACATGGAGGTCTCCAGAATTTTGAGCTGCAACCAAAACTGAAACAAGTATTTGGGAAAGGCCTCATTAAAGCTGCTATGACAACTGGAGCATGGATATTTACAGGAGGAGTAAATACAGGTAATAAAAACTGTCAAGGAAAAAAAAAATCACCGGAGCAAGTATATCTCAGAAGGCTTGTGGAAGAAATATATCACTGCACATTCCTTTCCTTCCTTTTTTCATAAACATCACATTAAATACACATTTTCATTTAGCAGGCACGTCTTTTATAAAAATGTAGATAACCAAAATACGATTCTAAGTAAGAACTGGAAAAAAATCTCTTAATGACACGGTCACAACCTTCCCACCACCCCTGCTGTTATTCTCATTGGAAGGAAAGGTCCATTAACAATATTTGTCAAGATACTGTCCGGGTGGAGAGGAAGGTTAAATGCCTGCTGCTTGCTTGCCTGCCAATTGTTAAAACAGTTAAAACAGCAGCAAAGACCATAACCATGGACAAAGAGCAAAAAGCCATGGCACTGATGATGGTTTAATGCAACTCCAGAGAGTTGAAATAATTTATTAAAAGTGTCTTCCTATATTGAAATGAACATCAGAGTATTGAACAGAGTACAGAGGTATAGAACTGGCAGACAGGCAGGTAAACATTGGACCATGCTACCTCCACCTCTTTTTATTATTATTTTTGGCAATTAAACATAATAATAGATTGGCTAGGTAGAATTCAGGGATCAGAAAAATTAATATCTCTGTTTTCTGTATGGAAAGTATACATTTGAGATCTTTGTATGTATGGTTACAATAGAAATGGAGGGATCTTCATAAGGTATTGATAATCATCGCTCATTTCTTCTCCCTGATATATTCCAACCCAGTGTAGAAACATCCAGTGTCCTCTCAGCTTACCTCCAACATCCACTCAGTCAAAAATAGTACAGTCTAAATTAACTTGCCTAATGGAAACCATTCTACTGTATAAATCAAAAGACAAAAGACCTAATTCTTGCTTTTGCCAAGTTTCTGATCCAAGTGATGTTGAACTACAGTTTTCAGCATTCCACATTGCCGGGTGGCTGAGTTGCAGTCCAAAAACATCAGGATCATCACAAATTCTGTATCCCTACTCAAGATTAGGGGAAAAAAAAGAGGCAAGAATGCATGTAATGAATTAGCTATGATCATGAATTCTGTTATCACTTATCAGCGAGAGTAATTTTTCATTTTTTTCCTGGCTTTTTCAACAAGCTGCAGTTAAATCAAAAGGTGACTTAAGGCAATGTTAGAACAAAGTTATAGGTAAACTTATACTTTTTCTATTTATCCAAAGCTTTCCATGAAATCCTGAACTAGATAGTGGCTGGCTTTCTCACTTTTATTTTAAATCTTAATCCAATTGCTTGATCTCTGGTTGACTCATAACGTTTTCATTTTCGTATCACAAAATTTAACCTACAGACATTTTTATAGCAGATATTAATGTCATCCTGTCATATGTTAGCATTTCTTTTTCAGGAGTTATTCGGCATGTTGGTGATGCACTGAAAGACCATGCTTCAAAATCTAGAGGAAAGATCTGCACTATTGGAATAGCTCCCTGGGGAATTGTAGAAAATCAGGAGGACCTGATTGGCAAGGATGTGAGTCTCTTGTTCATCTATAAAATATGCTTTGTTAGTATGTTTTAGATATTGAGATTTTCACAACTTCCTGACCCAGGAATCTACGATGACCCCAAGATTAAAACTGAATGCTTTGTATGAGCATATATAGCTCTTCTCAGATGTTTTGATAATTTTAAAATATTTTAATTCCTCATTTAATCATTTAAAGGACACATTCTTGTTTAAGGATGAACAATTTAGTTTCATCCATTTTTTTTTACTAATTAAGGACAATTCGTATTATTTGGACATCTGTTTTACATATTAAAGTAAAGGTAAAGGTTCCCCTCCCACATATGTGCTAGTCATTCCTGACTCCAGGGACGGTGCTTATCTCTGTTTCAAAGCCGAAGAGCCAGTGCTGTCCGAAGACGTCTCCATGGTCATATAGCCGGCATGACTAAACACCAAAGGTACATGGAACGCTGTTACCTTCCTACCAAAGGTGGTCCCTATTTTTCTACTTGCATTTTTATGTGCTTTCGAACTGCTAGGTTGGCAGAAGCTGGGACAAGTAACGGGAGCTCACCCCGATACGTGGCACTAGGGATTCGAACCGCTGAACTGCTGACCTTTCGATCGACAAGCTCAGTGTCTTAGCCACTGAGACACCGCATCTCCGTTTTACATATATACAGCAATGCAAATGTTGGCTCATCCTCCTTATCCATAAATGTAAAATTGTTTTTGCAGACTACCTGAGTTTGCTATCCATTTTGCAGTTGGCAAAGCTCCCCAAATTGGATGAAACAAGGACTTTTACCTATGCTTTACACTTTTAGGAATTTGCAGAGCCCTAAGGTATCTATTTCATTCCTTAAAATGTCCCCTAAAACAGGTCTTGGTTTCATCCAGCTATAGCTTAAGGCACATATTTGACCTGTGAACCAAGCCAATAAGACTTTCTTATTCTTTTTGCTCTGTGTGCCACTCACTTATCTGTTAACAACACTGGTAATTTCACTGTTCTTCCTGTCAAAAAATTAGAGAGTTTTTCGACACATCTCTTTACTTGTCTCTCATATTATTATAATTAGTGCCTATGGCAGCATTTTCTGGACGAAAAAAAATGACTTTATTTTTGTCATGGTCTCTTTTAGCTTATAGTTATTACCATCATGATGAAAATCTTTATTTTTTATGCATATCAACTAAGTCATAATATTTGTAATTAATGCTTTGCTGAATTAAAATAACAATAACAATAACAATAATAATAATGCCAAATCAGTGTAATCATATGCTGTTCTGTGCAATGAACCATAACAATGATTCATTATTATGACAGTCAAACACATACAAAGAAATAAAAACACGCTGTTCTTAAACATTGAATTAAACCTTAAGCACAAGGACTAGGATTAGACAATCTTTAACAAAAACAAGTTGAAAGGTAAAGATTGGACAAATGTATTTTATTAATCTAGAGTTTTTACTATTAATCTATTACTATTAATCTAGAGAGTTTTGCTCAAGTATGACAGACTCTTTTCACTGAGTCTAGCTAGCTTTTTACTACCATATAATCTGCATACTTGTTGTGGCCCATCAGCGGCCTGTGCAGATTGTAGCTGATTCCGACAACGAGGAGGCTGGTGTGGTGCTATGCCAGCAGCCTGTACAGCTGGCACTCAAGTCAGACAGTGAGGAGGCTGGAGAAGATGTGGTGCCAGAGACAGGGATTCAGCCATGGCCTTCAGAACCTCCAGAAGCTCCTTTAAGTGAAGAGGACGAAAAGGAGGAGCCTCTTCTCAATGCATGGGCGCACAGAGCTGCCAAAAGGCAGGAGTGGCTCCTCAGGAGGAGATCTCCTCGAGAGTAAGGCTTGGGGCTAATTGGCCATTCCCTTAGCCTATTTAAGAAGGAACGCCGCTTGCAACAAGCTGTAGAGAACAACTTTAGTTCACTCTCCTTCGTGTCTGCAAAACTGCTTCTGGGCTTTCTGCCAACTCTAATAAGACTGTGATTACCTTATCTTAGAATTCTGGTAGGCTGTTAAGACAGTTCATTAACAGCCTTTGAATGATAAAGACTAAGTTATTTTGAGTAAATAAGCTTTGTATAGAGATTGTGGGTGCTGCATTCTTTGGGGTCCGTAGCTGGGGCAGAACAATACTAAGTCCACAGTTCTTGATATATGGCAGGGTAGTCTTTTGTGGCAAAGCAACATATATACATATATAGTCTGCATATATAGCGTGCATATATACACTTGTGCATGTGCATAATATCTATTCCATTAAGTTTGATATAACTTTTAATTTATTTACATCTATTCACACATTGAAAACTAAACAACATGCAGTTGTTGGATTCAGTACAAATCTATTGCCAAAAAGCACATGCAAATATATCTTTAGGTTTTAAAAAAATAATCCCTGTATGTTTTTGATGTATCCATGAAGCTTTGGAAATATTTCTGAAGAATAAATCACAGTAGCCCCAGTGGAATCACCAATTAAATTAAATTAAATTAAATTAATACTAGGAGATGTAAGTGGCAACACCTGGAGAATTACATTTGTGCATTCATGACCAGAGGTGGGTTTCAGCAGGTTCTGACCAGTTCTGGAGAACTGGTAGCGGAAATTTTGAACAGTTCGGAGAACCGGTAGTAAAAGTTCTGACTGGCCCCACCCCCATCTATTCTCTACCTCCCAAGTTCCAGTTGATTGGAGGAAATGGGGATTTTGCAGTAACCTTCCCCTGGAGTGGAGTGGGAATGGAGATTTTACAGTATCCTTCCCCTGCCACGCCCACCAAGCCACGCCCATCAAGCTATGCTACGCCCACCAAGCTACGCCCACAGAACCGGTAGTAAAAATTTTTGAAACCCACCACTGATTCATGACCTACAATAAACTGTTTAAAAAATTCAAATCAGCAATGCTATTTGTTTAATTTTTTATTCCAGTAACTGAAGGCACTATATATCTTTCCCTCGCCCTTAACCTCAAAACAGCCATTGAGATAGCTTAAAATGAGATATAATGACTAGTTTAAAATAACCCAGTAAGTATCCGAGCTTTTACTGGCCAACATTCAGAACTTGAATATAGTGGTTATTTGCAAGATAAAAATCCTTCTTATTGTGTGTTTCATTGTGAGGTTGTTGATTTATACTGTTTGTGTGAGTTGTGTAGGGGTAAGAGAAGATCCCTGTATTTGCTTCAGATATACGAAATATTACCTTTTAGTTCCTAGAAAGCCTCAAGAGCTTTTGTTGGTATTGAAAAAGAATTCTCAAATAAAAAATAATTATTCCCATTTTCAAAAAACAGATATAATCTCTCATCATGGGAGCATGCTGGGTAAGCCTAAATATGGTAAGCAGAGGGGGAAATAAGAAATCCCTAACAATCTGTGGCAAAGTAAACCATAATTGGTGACAGAAGTAGCCAAATATCCAATGTTGTGCCTAGAAAAAATAGTTGATGACATAAAAACTACTCTTTCAGGAAAACTTTGCATTAATTAAAAAAATACACTCTTAGCGGATCATAGATCATTTGAGATTTGGTTTTTTGATCCTTAAGGTTACTTTTTTCAGAAGTAAATAGTATTTGGTCTTACTTCCCTATTTGAGTATCCATTCTTGGGATTCTCACTTCATTTATGAGCTGTGGTGGTGCAGTGGTTAGAGTGCAGTACTGCAAGCTACTTCTGCTGACTGGCGGCTGCCTACAATTTGGCAGTTCAAATCTCACCAGGCTCAAAGTTGACTCAGTCTTCCGTCCTTCTGAGGTGGGTAAAATGAGGAGCCAAATTGTTGGGGGCAATATGCTGACTCTGTAAACCACTTAGAGAGGGCAGTTTACACCCTTAGGGAGGGCGGTAAACAGGGGTGAAATGCTACCGGTTCGCTCCGGTTCAGGCGAATCCGTAGTGATAAAAACTACCAGTTTGGGCGAACTGGTAGTAAAAAAAAAAGCTACCGGTTCGGTTGAACCAGTAGTTTAAAAAGCTACTGGTTTAGGCGAACCAGTAGTTTAAAAAAGCTACCAGTTCCTCTGAACTGGTATTTCCGATGATCAGCTGTGTAACATGATTTAGCTTTGCTAGAAAGCAGGAAATCCTGCACGCACGCACACACAGCACATGCCAAAAGGAGGCTTGGGAAGATAAGTAGAACAGCAGGGTGGAATCAGCTGTGCAGCGCAGTTTAGCTTTGCTAGAAAGCAGGAAATCCTGCTTTCTAGCGAAGCTAACTCCTGCGCCACAGCTGATCCCCCCCTCGCTTCTACTTACCTTCCTAAGCCTCCTTTTGGCACATACTGTGCATGCACGTGTGCACACACAGCACGCATTTGGCATGGCAGTGTGCATGCACATGCAGCGCGTGTTTGGCGTGCACTGCACATGCGCGGCCAGCGAACCAGTAGCAAACCAGATTGGATTTCACCACTGGCTGTAAAGCAGTGTGAAGCGATATATATGGCTAAGTGCTATTGCTATTTCTATACCAAAGTGATGCTTCAAGCTCTCTATAGTCATGAATTGAGGAATATCATTTTGTTATTATGATGGGCCTGTTTTTTAGACAAAAATGAAGATATACTGTAAGTGCAACATCTTGAGTTAAAGTTATTTCATAGTGGCATTATAGATCTCTGTCAAACAGTCTTCCCTGTATAATGCCAAGCATATTTCTTATTCACTGAAAACTTAGATATCATGAACTCCCAGGCTTCATGAAAACCACAACACTGAATGCAGTGCAGTGCAAATATATGGCCAAATTCCTTTTTTGATAGAAATATTGGCTGCAGGTCCTCAATAATGAGAAAAGGGTGTTTGAAAGGCTACATAGCACTTCAGTTTTGAAGGTTGAAATTTGTTTGTGGGGGGAAAAATACAGCATCTGCCTCCAACTCCTTAACCAAACACATCACACATCCATAGCAAAAGATGCGGCTGCTTCATGTTAACTTTAATGAGTCGTTCCCCTGAAGCAGTGGTGCCTTTCTTTCAGGCTTACATAGAAACCTGGGGAAAAAAGCCAGGCTACTTTAATGAATAGCAGAGGAGTGTTGCACTCCCAAGGTCCAGAGCACTTCCTTCAAATCATTTTTGAATGGCACCCAGTCACGACACCGGCACTTCTCTCTGTGATTAAAGCTGAAATGTACTAATCTGAAGAAGAAAATGAAGCCTTTTCGTTTTGCTTTTCATATTCATACTAACACACCTGCTGCAGCATTCATAGATTTCTTGATAGTTGGAACTGCTGCCTGCAAGTTAGACAGATAAAGGAAATCTGATGCTTTTCCTGGAGGTTATCCAGCTTCATTTCTCCTGGGTATCTAACAGCTGTGTTCTCAATTTCTCCTGTAATGGAGTTGATATCGTCTGCTTTTTATTTTTTTAAATGGGAGAAGGATAATAGCAAATCTATCTTTTCATCCTCTCTGTCAGAAATTGTTTTATTGCCTTTGATTTGCGGCTTTAGAATTCAGTAGCACTGCACTTTGAACTAATCATATTTCTCCCATCTCCCAACTCACAAGTTGCACAGGCATGCATTACCAAGTATTTTGCTAGAGTAGAAATTCTTCAGGAATCCTAAATTTAAAATAATATTAGACTGTTACTAAATTGTGAGAGCCAGTTTGATGGAGAAGATGAGAGCTGGGCTAGAAAGTGCAAGATTGTGAAATATAGCATTCCCTTAGGCATAAAAGGCAGCTGAGTGACTTTGGATGCTGTTCCCATCCAACTCACCTCTTAGGGTTATTGTTTTGGGGAAAATAGGAGGTGGGAGCATTGTATACACCAACCACCTGGACCTATATGAAATAAAGGCAAAATATAAATCTGTTATAATATATAGTTACATCCAAATTCCATTCTTGGCACTTTGTAATAAAAAATGAGTAATGGAAAAACATGAGTGTACTACATACATATGTTTACCATCACGTGAAAACGTTCCTTTCAAAGCAAAGCATTCAACAAAGACCTCTCCAAGATTCTAATAGAGATGATTTTTAAAATTGAGTTAATTATGGTATGTTAGGTGGATGCAGACAGAGATTGAACAACAATCTCTGAACAACAAGATGGGAAAGGGAAGGGAAAATGTATGAGGAATCCTTGGAGGTATTGGACATGTTTTATCTGAGAAGAGAAATCTGCAAGGAGACACAGTAGATGTGTGTTCAAGGGCTGTCATGTGGAAGATGGGATAGAATTTCCTGGAGCTGTTTCTGAAGCTCTTCAAGACGTAACGTTTTTACAAAGAAATTGATTTTGGTTGGGTGTGACAGAAAAACCAATCTTAATCCTAATTACTATTCAACAATGAAACCGACTGCCTCAATTGGCTGCAAATTCTCCTTTGCTCCTTTAATAAGCTGCATGGTAGTCTGCAGAATACGTTATACAAATGGATTTGTACACTGCAGAGAGAGGTGAACTAGATGACCTCCAAGTTTTATCCCAATCTGTACATTCTGATATATTATAATTTTAGATTAATTCATCCCATATAGTAGAAAACATATTTTATCTATTCTTTGAACTTGGAAATAGCAGTGGATTATATGAGTATCTGAGGACTCTGAAGACAGAAGCAAAATGAAATCTTTACTAAAGTCTTATATGTATTAGACAGGATTTGAATTGTCTAGTAATGTACTTACCAAGCCACAGAATGTAATATTCTGTCTTTGCCCTTGTTCCTTTTTTGTGTCTGTAAAGCTTATATTGTTATTGGTAGCAGAATAAGTGGTGGTAGTAGTGAATTAATAACTGAAATTATTATATCATCATCATCATAATCAGGAATCTGATTTACTACAAAAAAGCTTTAAAAAGATGTTTAATGCTTATTTAGCCACTGGTTTATAAATCGGACTACGCAACAAAAAGAAAATAAGAATTCAATCCAAAACATTGGTGTACAGTAATTATGATTTTTCTAGGTTTTAGCTAGGTGTACATTGCTGTTTTGTGGTTGTTTGGTTACAATGATACATAACCACAGATTGATAGGACTGTAGCAGAGGTGTGTTTCAGCAGGTTCTGACCAGTTCTGGAGAACCGGTAGCAGAAATTTTGAGTAGTTCGGAGAACCAGTAATAACACCTCTAACTGGCCCTGCCCCCATATATTCTCTGCCTCCTGAGTCCCAGCTGATTGGGAGGAAATGGGAATTTTGCAATTACCTTCCCTTGGATTGGGGAGGGAATGGAGATTTTACAGTATCCTTTCCCTGACATGCCCACCGTGCCTCGCCCACCAAGCCACACCCATGGAACCGGTAGTAAAAAAATTTGAAACCCACCACTGGACTGTAGGTATGTTATTTGTAATCTGATCCTGCTTTATGGACAGTATATTCTCCACTGTAGTGGAGGTCCTGTGATAGTAGGGAAAACTATGACATCATGTTTCAAATGAATAATTTTGGAAGACTTTTATGTGCACATAGATAAGTTGCAAGATAATGCAATCAGATCACACATCTATTTAGTTCAATATTCCACATTTATTTGTTTGTTTGTTTGTTTGTTTGGAAATTTTAGATAGCCGCCCATCTCACATATGTAACTCTGGGCAGTGAACAAAGTTTACTACAACAAGATGTGAGAGAAGCAGCATTTTGCATTCATGTTCTTTTAACAACTGAACATCATTGATATAGGAGGCAATATGTCATATGCTTTTAATTTTTTTAGGAATAAATTTTTATTTTTATTCGGAAAGTTAAAATACAAACTCCACAAAAAAGGAAAGAATTTTTACAAAAACAAAACAAAATTAGACAAACACATTAAAAATGTGCATTAAAAAGACAAAAAACAAGTTAAATACCTTAGTTAAATACTGATTAATATATTGAAACAATGATAGCTTCCTCCTCTTGTGAATCAGGCCCAGAATTCATAAACTTCTACATCTATTTGCAATCAGTTTGACTTGTTAGACATTTATCTACCATATTTATATAAAAGAAGTAGTTAACAGAAAAAACCAACAGCAAAGTTAATTATTTCAGTCCCTAAATTTTTGAAAAGGAATAAGTAACTTGATGACCTACATCTATAGGGCATTGGATTACAATTCCCACAGTCATTGGCCATGACTGTTGGAACTGATGAGAGCTAATCCAAAACATCTGATCACAGCTAATTAGGTCTATTTATTTATTTGTGTGGATGTTTTGTTTTCATGTTTTAATTGTTTTATCATTTTAGAATTGTAAGCCTAACACTCTCTTGGTTGAGTTGGGTGGCTATAGAAATTGAATAAATAAGTACTTCAAATAGAATCTGCAAGCCACAACAACATATATCATGAGGTCATTGCACAAAATGGTATTCTTATATAATGACATAATGATGACTGGTAAACATACCTACACAATGTCATCACATGGGCCATATTCCCTCTGCCTACCTGCCCCTTTTATAGTCTCTTTTAAACTAAAGAACAGATAATATTACGGGAATTCTATTTCTCAGTTTCAATCATTATAACATGAATAAATCCAACTTGTGAATACTTACATGGAATCAAATTTCACAGTGGTTGGTTGGGTTTGCTTTTAAATAAGATTTTTAAAGAGTTATGTCATTTTTCTATTATTATATCTAGACAATAATTTATTATTGATTTTCTGAGTTTGAAAAATCTCCAACAGTACTTGAATTTTAGAAATGCTTGAAAATTGATTTCAGCAGCTTGGTCTTGGCTTGTTATCTCAATACTAGACTTTATCAGGATTTCCACGCTACTACAACAATCTATGATTATATTCTCTTTTTTTCACATATGCAGGTAGTCCGACCGTATCAAACAATGTCCAATCCAATGAGTAAGCTGACAGTACTCAACAGTATGCATTCTCATTTTATTCTGGCTGATAATGGAACCACAGGAAAATATGGTGCAGAGGTTAAACTTCGCAGACAGTTGGAAAAGCACATCTCCCTTCAGAAGATAAATACAAGTGAGCAGTTCACTTTCTACTTCTTCTTACAGTCATGGTATCAAAATTGAACAGCAATAGTACAAAGAAACAATGGTTCATATATCTCTTCTAGTAATGATGGATCAATTTTATGTACACGTATACTGTACCATCCGTATCTTTATTATCATCATCAACCACAAGTGAACATAGTATAATAGACTTGAATATTATTGAGCAATAAAATACAAATACTAGAATGCTAAAAGTTTTGATACCTAGAGAAAACTGACTGAATTATGAAAAATCCTTTGTGAATGACATACTATAATCCCTAAATTACCAAGTTATTAAAATACAAAAATGCATGGAATACTTAAAAATTAAAATTATTATTATAATCCATGATAAAAAGTAAATATATAAAAGAGATGCAGATAGTCCTCAACTCACAACCATTCATTTAACGACTGTTAGAAGTTAAAACAACACTGAAAAAGTGACTTATAACCATTTTTCACACTTCTGACTCCACATGGTCACATGATCAAAATCCAGACTCTTGACCACTGGCTCATATTTATGATGGTTGCAGTGTCCCAGGGTCATGTGATCACCTGTTGCAACCTTCTGACAAGCAAAGTCAATGGGGAAGCCAGATTCATTTAACAGCCAGGTTACTAACTTAACAATTGTAATGATTTACTTAACAGCTGTGGCAAGAAAAGTCGTAAAATGGGGCAAAAGTCACTTAACAACTGTCTTGCTTAATAATAGACATGTGGGACCCAATTGTGGTCGTAAATCGAGGACTACCTGTATTCCATTGTAAAACAAAATAAAATAGTATTGCTTAAAATTTTAAATGAAGTGCCTGCTTATACCATTTGCTGCAATTCTGGATCAGAAACCATGAGAAGGGAAGGGAGAAAGGAAGGGAATGAGGGAAAGTAAACTATATTAACTGTAAGTAGATATAAATTATGGCCAAACACTCTAGTTTACTTCCAATCCCATGGGAAGTTAGTTTCTCATTTAGGAATAGAAAGAATGCTAAAAGGATGTCAAATCTAGAATTATATCACAATGAAAATCAGGGAAGACAGAGAAAAATAAATCTGATAAACAAGATGATTTTTCAGTCTTTCTTGGTTTATCTGTTTTCTAACTTCAGCTATTTTTGCTAAATTAAAGGTTATTTCCAAAATGTTAACATGTTGAAGTCTAATGACTTTGCAGCAAGAATATTCTTGATTTTGTTTAGACAAGGATGGGAAACCTATGACCCTTTAGAAATGCTGCCCCAGGGAAACTTCTGGCGCTCCTAGACAGCCAGAAGGATGGTGAGTTAAACTTCAGCAATGGATAGTTCCCCACCTATGATGACCCTCTTTACAAGAAAGAGCACAAGCTGTCATCTATGTTGTTACTGCATAATTATTTAAAATACTTTGGAAAAATTAATAAAATGATACTTGGTTAAGGCACAGCCCCTTTCATTTAGCCCAGGTCTCACTGAGTAAATTAAAAACAAACCTATTGGTTAAATCTAAAATGTTTTGTTCCTATCCATTAAATGAAAAAAAAAATGACAACAAGGTCTGTATACATAGAAGAGCTTAAGCAATTACAGGCTCCTTTTCTAGCTAGAATGACAGCTTGCTTCATGATTTCACTTAACAAGCTCCATCCTTCCACATTGATGCCATGATGTCACATTGCAAATACAGAAGTGTTGGAGTTAATATGACACTAGATTGCGGTTGCATTTTTCACATGCTCTGTTTAGGATTGTTAGAAATGAAACCATTTACTTCTGCTGCTGAAGCATGAGACTGTTGATGCTTCATTCTGGTCGTTTGGCTGTGAAAAGGGTTCACTGACTTTGCATTCTTGTTCTTATTCTTTGTATCAAGTGTATTTTCCATTTCACCTTGATATCCTCAATTTCATAGCCTAATACACACATTATCAATTAATCTGCAGTGAGAACTATATGCAACCTATTTTCCATTACCTGCTTATAAAGGTAAAAGCTGAGTGTTTCAATCTTTTTGTAATATCTTTTTACCAACCTTTCCCAATTTATTACTTAATTTAATTTTCATATAGGAGTATTTGTGTATTTTTCCCTCTCTGTTACTCTTCTTTATGCTCAGCATTTGACTGTGCAATATTTAACTGCAAAACGTATTTGTTAGAAACAGTGTAGGACCTCCAAAGCAGATAAGTTAAAAGTATGAGTTCCTTATTTTCTTGGTTTTTATTAATTTCTACTATACTGTACAATTGTAATATCTACTGTGTTTCCCCGAAAATAAGACCTGTCTTATATTTTTTGAACCCCGAAATAAGCACTTAGCCTTATTTTGGGGTGCATGGAGCAAGATGGGGCTCCTGTTGCTCTCTTACCTGATTTCCAGATCTATGTTTAAATATTTTCAGGGAGGGCTTATTTTCAGGGGGAGGCATGCACTCAAAAGCCCAATTGGGCTTATTATCAGGGGATGTCTTATTTTGGGGGAAACAGGGTATCAAAAGTTATAATATGTCCTACTATAGTGTAGATTTCTCAGTAAATATAATTGAGTCTATTAAAATTTTATTGTATACTCACATGTATTGCTGCACTTTGCAGACTATCATGGAGTCCCAACATTTAACACATAAATGATAATATAATTAATAAATAATATTATTTATTAGCTTCATTATTTATTAACTTTAATATCATTTACATGTTAATAATAACTTTATTATCTAATAAATATTTACATATTTATTAGATAATAAAGTTTTTATTCAGTATTATCTGAGAAGAAAGGTAATTGATTCTCTCAAACCTGCAAGTATAATTGCAGAAAATAGGCCACATAAAATATGTACAAATTTTACATTAGCCTGTTGCCACGCTACATTTTCCTTTATAAAGAAACGTAACAAATTATTTAAATCCTCATTATGTAAAAGCCTCTCTTTCTGCCTGAAAAAAATATTTCTTTATAGTGATCAGGGAGATGTTGTTTAAATAAGCTGCTCTGTTCATGTAGAACCAATTTGGCAATTCAGTGTCAGCATGTATTCAATAATTTCTAAGAAAATTATTTATAGAAAATTCTCTAATAGCAAGGTTATATAACTCAGTACCAATATTGATGTAGTATCGTTATTGATCCATTATGTGTGTAATAGCTGAGATATTCCACACTCTAGCAACTGTTTTCATTGCACAATTGCTGTTAAAAAGAAGCCATTCATTATGTAATTATTTATAATAAACTAAATTGTTATATATTATTTCTATTTTCATTTCTTTTCTGCCAAAATATTCAAAAGTACATGAAACAAAAAATTGAAGGGATGTGTATGTGACTCTTGAGCTCACAGGAATATTCAAACTGTGTGTATTAATTCTAGTATTCTGTATCCAACAGTAATAATCATAAATAAGAAGCCAACCACCAGATAAACCATTCTATGACCACTGTTCTTTGTTCTCAGGAGAAAATAGCTAATATGTAGCTCCTTGGACAGCTGCTAGAACACAGTAAGCCTACTGGGAAAACAGAGAAGTAATGATACTTTTAAATGTGTGGCCTTCATATGTTCGTATTATAAAGGAAAAAAAAGAGAACAGGGTAACCTTGAGAAGGCATTTGTAACAATTGAACTGCTCTATCAAAATAAATAAATAAAACAAATCACACCATTTGTATTTGAGTAATGTAATGTTAAACCTATAATTATTTTAATTTGGATTTGTACTATTGCATTTCGAAAGGGTTAGTTTGACAGTCTGCCCAAGAAAAATCTGTTCTTAGTATCACCAGTGGGGGCCTATCTAGTTTAGAAGGTATTGAGAATAAGCAATCCAACCATCTTCCTAAGGATCCAATTTCCTCAAAAACCCACAAAACGAACGATTTCATAGAAAAGGTTGCAATTGTTTTCCCCCATAAAAGTCCTCGTTATTATCATAAATATGCATGGTACCATTTCATGATTGACAAATTATCCTAGAACTATTGAAATGTGTTGATTTAATATAGGCTAGGTGGTTGTCATATTTCCAAATCCACTCTACTACACAGAATTTGGTACTGGGCACAATGTTAAAAGTTTTGAAAATGCCAGTTTTCATCTTAAATTGATAGCGCTTAAAGCTGCTGAAATTATGGTTGCAAGGATGAGGGCAAAACCTGGTAAAACAATAAGAAACAGAAGAGAACTGAAAAGGACTTTAGCACCTTACATACCTGCTGATCTTTTTTTCAAAATTAGCAATAACAGAAGTTACCTTGAGAAATAATGTACAATAAATATCTATACCCTTTATAAAGTTAAAGAATTATACACTGTTTAGGTGGCTCCAGTACAAATCTTTTAAACAAACCGATCTCCAAACATAGTATAATTTTTTCCTACAAAATTCCATTTCCCCTTGCAGTTATGATTTGTATGCCCAACACTATTGTACTTCATGTCTTAAAATAATAAACTGCCATTTTATGATCTTCTAATAAGCAACAGAGTGAGGTAGCACTTCAGATTCAAAAGCAAAAATGTCTTCAAAGGGTTTACGGGGAGCTGGCACAGAACTTCTCTGCAGCACCTTAAACCAGGTGTATCTTAATTGGGACCATGAAGGACAGCCATGTCATCCTGCAAAAAAAAAAAAAGCTGCTTTAAGAAATTGAAGACAGGGGCTATATAAGCATCCCCTACTGTACATAGAAAGGGCCATTTTTGAAAAATTGAATCCAAATCCTGGCTCTAATTAGGAATATTTATAAATGCATATTTCCAGCGGAAAACATTTTGCATTCTTCTAAATAGGTCCATATTTCGAAAAGCCTGAAGGTTTCCTTGGTTTTTGGAATCTGCACTGAGTCACAGAGACAGCCAAAAAAAAGTATACCTTTTACTGAATCATATAAAAATACTGTAAAAAGATATTTTCATGAGACGCCTTTGTTTTTTTACATATATAAGAACAAAATATTTTGCATTATTTACTCAAACTAGGTAATCCTCAGACTGATTGACTTGTACAAAACTTAAATGTTTATGTTAACATATGTGTAGCATATCGCAGTCCATTATAAGTAAATATATAAAACTAAATTTATTCATCCTCAACAAAAATAGAAAATGAACTGGAGAAGAATATAGGGAAAATTAAAACAAGTGGCAAATTCTAACACTGTAAAGTGTCTGCAGTACCTATTCATGTGACCTGTGGACTTCCCTTTGTCATCCTATGCCTGAGGATATATGAAGGGGGCTGGGAAGGCAAAGGGACGTTCAATTGTCATCACCGGCATCTTCTTTGATCATTGCACTACCATCAAATGCATTGGAATGCTCATTTGCTTATGTCCCAATCTTTTTTTTTTTCATGCTCTGTTCAATATTTAATGCATTTCTATGTCCTTGGTGCTTCCTTGGGATTTGACATAGTTAGAATAGAATGTGGTTGACTGTGCTGAATCTGAATCCAAAGAACAAAAGTAGTAACAGACAGACAGGTTAAATATAGTGATTTGTAAATATCCAGGTTACATTGTGAATTTTTCTTTTGGAATCGGCTGAAAGTAATGTCATTCACATGGTGGGATGGATCCATACAAGTCTCCTGGGGCCTTTTCTTTTACTGAATGCAGGAATACATTTCCATTTGGTCCTCCCCCCCCCAAAGTTCATGTGTCCCACAAAACCTTCTGTTATTCAAAAGTAGGGAAAATACCCAGAGGTATCTCATCACATTTTTGGTTGCCTGACACATTATGAATAGAACTGAAAGAGATAATAGAAACTCTGGATCCAACCTAACATATTTTAAGTATTTTATTGTATGTGTGACAATGACTTGAAACAGTAATCCCTCATAAAACACAATGCATCAACTTCTTTTCTTTCTTTTTGCCTTTCTTCTTTTCCTCCTTTCTTTCTATTTTCCTTTCTTCTTGTCATTTGCTTACCTATCAGGCTGTTCTGCAGTTTTAGTTTGAAGCCAGTACATATTCTAAGTGTATTTTTAGCAGTTAAACAAGGAAATTTTGGAACCATCAGTGTTTGCCATATTCATGATGAAGTGTCAGTTTGCCGCTACAACATTTGCTCAAAAGAAAGACAATTCTAAATTTAAGATGGTCAAAAAAGAAGATTATAAAGAGAAAAAAAGTATTATAAAAAGAAAAATAGTATAAGTCCACATGAAAATCATATGGAATATCTAGCTTCCTGTCAATTCAAGATTAAACCAAACCTCTAGATTTTCCCATCAATAAACATAACATATTTGTTCAAGTATTTGCACATAGTATCTATGTATTGGCCAGAAGCCATTCTCAAAAAAAAAAAGGAAAGACCAGGAAAACCTCCCCAGCAAATTGAATTATCTACTGATTAAAATTGCCTATAAAATAAGGCAATTTTCGTCCCATCTGCACAGAAACAATTTTATCTTTCACTTATTATAGACAAAGGCAGCGTTGCATCTTCTTCCACTCCTATGCAAAAAACAATAAAGAAGGAGAAATAGACAACAAAGGACAGAAAGAAAAAGAAATAGAGATGACATGATTTTGATGAGATTAGACAGGAAATGAAAGAGCCTACAGAAGGCTTAACAGGTTTTTATGTTGGGATCAGCACAAATCTACGGACTCAGTCACTCTACTAAGTCCTACTGAGTTCAACATCTCTTCCTGCCAAGTAAGCATTCTTAGGTTTCTAATCCTGCTCAGTCACTATGCCATAGTATACTTCTACTCAAGTGGAAGGCAGACAAGAGCATTGATCCCACTTGTTACCTTACTGGGTAGATGGTCCGCAATAGGGCAGGAAGGGAAAGAAGTTGCAATGGACTTCATAAGAGAACAGCTTCATCTGCACATTCATGTATGTTTTAGAGATCACACTCTCAGAGAAATTCTATTCAGTGCATATACGATTACTTTTACCTTTCAAAAGTAAGTATTTGTTGGGAAAACTTCATCTTCCTTTGTGTAGACCCTTACTTTCCTATTGGGTAACGACAGTGATATATTTTGACACTGTTCTGGGATGTCAGAAACAGGCTTACAAGTATATGCCACTGAGAACAATAAAAAGTGAAGAACCATTAATCTTTTGTATTTAAGATTCAATATTGCTAAATTGAAACTAGCCCCAAATCTTTTGAGTGCAGTTCAAGGTCCAATAAGCAAACAACCAGTCATTAAAAATCTAGCATAAAAAAAAAATGCTTTGAGTCTTTTCAGCCCATTCCACACAGCATTCTCTGAAGCCATTCTGAATTCATTTTTCCCTAATACAATGCACCCGAAAGCAATCTCTTCAAAGATTAACAGACAGGACAATAAATGGAACCAAACATCATAAGAGCATTTTTATGGCACTAGAAAATTGTAATATACAGAATATTTTGTTGGAGAAAATTATTCACTAAATAGTGTCATTTTTCCCCCCACTGGACATTCCATGTAATACATGCTACAAGCATGTATAAATAAAAAGGAACTTTAAATGTTATTATATAACTTTTGCTTCATAGTGACAATTTCTTCCTTTATATTTTTCAATAGCCACAAAAATAATGGTCAGCTAATCTTGGTCTCTCTGGCTTCATATAAAATTTTCACAGCACGAAGTTTGAACTGATTTCTGGAAATTAAAGAAAAGTTGTTTTTACTATTTTTTAAACTTGTTTGCTGCTTGACTTCCAATGATTCTGGAATGTATGCTTAACCCAACTGGAGGAGATTGTAGAAAGTAAAATCTTTAACCATGGAAATAAAATATTTCATGCATATATGTATAAATTTTACTTATTGTGTATTTATGAATTACAATTTTAAACCCTACAGAGAAAATCCTAAATGGAAATTATCTCTAGATAGTTGAAGTTTTAATCAAGGCCTTATATATGAGATAGAGGGTTTGCCATCTTTTACTGTGAATTGGCCAGTGATATATATTTCTGACTGATCGATTTCTGCTTTCACTTCTCATTTTTTTTCATCTCTGATTAAGGTGAATAAGCCTAAATTCAAAATTAATGAAAGGTCTGTGAGAGATAGTCAACCAGGACATGTCAGGGGCAAGCAAGCTGCTTTTCTTTCATTTTCATTTAGGTGCAAATAAATAAATACATGCACAGCAAGCTTTTGGTTCAGGCCAATTAGGCAATAGCCCAGGACACCAAAGTACCAACACAGCCCCTCCTTCCAAGTCATTCTAAAAATGCAAATTTTCACATTAACTGGAGGTAGTGCAATTAGTCATTGTCATTTGGGGTGCCAGCTATTCTTGAGCTGGCACTGGATACAGATAGATAAATCCAAGTTGTTAGCTGTGAGGGAAGAGAATCATATTTTGAGATTATCAGAAATATTGCCTAAACCTCCTGTCCAAAATACCTAAAATACTTCACCACTAAAGTTACATAAAAGCCAACAACGAAAAGCAGATTAGAAACTCGTAGAAAATTGCATGTAAAAGAATGTTGATATATGAAATGTGGAGGCTTTTTTGAGCTTTAAAAAAATTAAAAGATCATTGCTCAATAGAACATTTAAATGGTGGAAAATCTGATTTATACCATTAAATATATTTAAAGTGTTACACTATTCACAGTGACCTTGGGGGGCTGGAGGAGGCATCGGCAGGATAGGCATGGCCAGCTTAATGTCACTCGTTTCTGGGGCACCTGCGATGGCCTGAGTGCTCTGCCAGAGAAAACGGGCTCCCAGCTCAATTTTCGGCTGTGATGGCCTCCTGCAACCCTCTGCCAGTGAAAAAAGAGCTTGGGAGGGTCACGTGCAGCCCTCCCGAGCTCCATTTTCGCTGGCAGAGGCACCACAGGCCAATCCTTCACTGTTTCCAGGGTGGGCCTGCGGACTAGATTCTAAGCAACCCACGGGCAGGATCCGGCCCTCGGGCCTTGAGTTTGACACCCCTGATTTAGATGCTCTTCAGTGGTGTTAGATTGAAGTTTATATATTGTGGTAGAATATATTATATATTGTGGGAGAATATATATATATATATATTCTCTCTCTTCCTCATTTCATGGTGACTACATTTCAAAAGCAATATTATGTCCATTTATGGGAATGCTTCCACAATAATAATCTAGATAAATTCTAACATATTACATTATTTCATCAGATAACTGGGATCATTATTATAGGTTATAATTGTGAGAAAGTAGCCTTAATTAAGACCTGCCATAGAATTCCTGCATTAAATTCCCTTCTAAAGAAAATGTGTAAAACATGCAACTTTATTATTTATTCAGAGCTATTGATTCTATCCAAAATAAATAGGAAATGTTTGCATTCATGGACTACATTCCTCTAAGACCCATATGTACTTTCTGAAATGCAACAGAACTTTCATGTTTTATGATGATTTTGTACAGATGCTCTATATCTCTTTCATATATGACTTACTTGTAATTTAGAAAGCTATGGTCAAGAATTAAAATGGAGGGGGGCTACGTTTTTCTTTCTCCCTCCTCATTTCATGGCAAACTTCATTTAAAAAGCAAAAACTTGCCAGTTTATTATTTTATATCTCAACTTGGATGCTATGCACTTTAAGACAAAGATACGAATTACACATAGTTTGTTAATGTTGTTTAAGCAAAATAGTATTGGTGGTAATTTCAGTTTCTCTTGGTTTATTTTTATTTGATTTGCCTGCTTTTTGTTTGTTTGTTTTGCTTTTGTTTATTTCATAACAGGGATTGGTCAAGGAGTACCAGTAGTGGCCCTCATTGTAGAAGGTGGACCCAATGTCATCTCCATCGTCCTGGAATATCTGCGTGATACACCCCCAGTTCCAGTTGTAGTATGTGATGGGAGTGGCCGAGCATCTGACATCCTTGCATTTGGTCACAAATACTCAGAAGAAGGAGGGTAAGTCTATTTGCAGAACCCTGTATTCATATAATTTTTTCTTTGTAAACTCAGTCATTGTCATATTTAAATATTTCAGAAGTAGCAGAAGCATAATAATTTTTCTTATGTATTGCCTGTGTGAAAAGTCCATACTAGGACTTAAACTATAGGTTTAACCCACATCCACTATATTCACACACTTACACCTTTCATTCTTCTGCTTAGAATAAGCAGTATCAAGCAGTATTTTAATATCTTAAATGTCTATTTGTTGAAAGATACAAACATTCAGACTTGGTGTATTAATAAAAATGGAGCAGATGTGGCAAAATCTTTGAAGAGATTATTGCAGTGTTAAAAAATGAAGGTAAATAAATCGGTGCTTGGGAAACGTCTTTAGCTATAATCTTCATCCTTATCCTTATTCTCTTGGTACATTTTAATGTCCCATGTGTTCAATCATACGTTTTTCACAATCCAAACCATATTGTCAAAATTATTGTGCAAATATGCATGTAATATTTGTCTGCTACATTGCAGATCACTGTGAGACTGATGCTCTTTATTTTCTACAAATCTATTTGTTGTTTGTTTCCTTTCATTGCTCTGTATCCTCCCTGACCTTCTAGTCCTGGAGAACATGAAACCTGGAGGAAGAACAAAGTTGCAAAATGTAAAGGAGAGAAAAGGATGTGCAGGAGATTAATTAAAATCATAATCCATTGTACTGACTAATCTTATCAGTAAAATGTATTTGAACAGCAGCTTAGATCTGGCAGCATCTACCATTTTTCCCCAAAAACAAAACAAAACAAAACAAAACTTGAAGTTATCCGGTGACAGCCTACTAAATAATTTATAATTGGACACAGACCAGATTCCCAAATGCATCTGGTCATTGCAGTTTAGCAGGAATCATAGCTGAAAGACCGCAGTGCAAATTAGTGTGGAAAGACTATCTTGTCTGACATCAATTCAAGAGAGATTTCTAAGTCAGACAGAAAGATGCCATCTCTGCCATCTGTTTCTACTGGATCTCCCATAGCAAAGAAAGCAGCTATTGTGCGAGAGTGTTTTGTTCTCAGTCTGCCAAATGAAAGAATGAATTTTTGCAGGTATCCGTCCTGCAAACTGCATCCCCTAAAGAGTTTGGGAAAGGTCTCATTGAATATATATTCTGCTGGATCAAAAGATTATTTATTTAATATTTGAATAGCTAAAGTAGATATATTTGCCATTCTCCATTTTAATTTACATCTGCTTCTAATATCCACTAAATTTTCATAGTTCAGGCCCAAGTATAGCTCAAAAGAACCCAAGGAATGTTTTTAAATATTCCTTTCTTTCCTGTTAAAATGCATTTTGGTATCACAAGGGATTCATTTGATAATTTAAGAATTTTTCCACCATGGTCTTTTTAAAAAATATACCTAGATATTGACAGTCAGAGAGACCTAAATTCTACTCCTGTCTTAGATGCAGAAGCTGAGAATTTGGTGACTTTAGTCCGGTCATTTTTCTTCTCAGCCATAAAAAAGAAAGCAGTGGCCAGCCACTTCCAAATATTTTGTCAAAAAAACTACCCGAGTTTGTCCATGTAGTTGCTAGCAGTCAAGATTGACTCAAAGACACACATATATCTGCATACAAAATTGCTTTAAGATCCTTCTGGCATATCTAGTGGCAAATGGAAGTGACTTTGGAAGAAACCAGTAATGCACACCTTGCATCCCCTCGGTGGCACAAAGAAAACCGATACCCATTTCTCATCCCATCTCATATACTCCTAATAAATTACTTTTCAATGGGTCCAATGTCATGTTGCAACAAGTCAAGCTTCATTAATGTTTGACTGATGCATGTTTATTTTTTTATTTACTTTTCTGTCTTTATGAAATATTTATAGCCTATTTTTCTGCTTCAGTATCCTGGGACAACTGACAAATCTATTTGCTTGATATGCTTTATACTGTTATAGATGTCATCTTCAGTCCTAAATATTCTTACTTGAAACAAGTAGATGTGATCTGCAATCCTAAATATGCATATTGATTAAAATATAATGCCACAAATGACTGTTCTTGGGTAGCAGACGAATTTCCTTATTAAAATGTTGTCAATCTGCAAAACATCCACCAGTGATTCCCTAACAAAAATACACATATTCAAATATCTTTCTTAGAATACAAAAGAATTAATGAATTGTTTCATGTTTCTCAGTTCCCGAGATAACTTAAGTTATGTGGAAGCTTTATGCAATTACTAATGTTTCAAGGAAATGTCATTGGAAACATGTTGACTCAAAATAGAAATGGAGGTCCAAAATCTGAAAGAACCCAGTTTAAGGAATGCCAAGAGCTAGAGAAAGCATGTGTACCGACAGACAAACAAACATCACACCCAAACATGTTTGTGTGAATTCCTAATTCAGAAGCATTGAAAATTGAACTAAAGCATCATGACCCTAAGATATATCTTAATATATTTGTAAATTCCCAATGCTGGATCAGATATACTGCAGATGTAGATGTAAATGGTGGAATATCTTTTCCATGTATTTGAAAAGAATGTATATAATTGCATTAAAAATAACTTTAACGTTTGTCACTTTACAGTAGCCATTTTACATGTTGTCTCCTTAGGTCCTTAGCAGTTGTTTACTAAGAAATAGCTACATTCTGAAGGACACCACTATCCAAGGCTAATGGATCTGGATAGTTTGCTGGAAAAATTGATTCTGTGTCCCGAAATGACCCCAATATTCCCCTACAGCTGTGTATTGCAAAGAAAGTTGGGAAACTCTGGTTGAGAGCTTTCTTTCAGGGACCTGTTTACCATTATTCACTTTTTTTTATTAAAGGATCTTTATTAAGGCTATATGGAACCAAAATTCTCCTGTAAAAACAACTGAAAGTAACTTGAAAATAACTCTTTAAAACTATGTGGCATGTATAAATCAGTATGACATTTTCCAGGCAAGTGAAAAAATATGCATCAAATATTTAATTTGCATTTTAAAATAAAAGTTACTGTAGAATGGATAGATAGGTGTGATAATCTCCCAATTTCTTTTTTAAAAGTAGAATGCAAATAGAAGGATTTTAATTTTAATTGAGTACCAGCCTGACGGATGAAGTTCCTAATCCTTTCTGCCCATGCTATTTTTATTATCAAAATCTACTCGTAACGCAGCTGCTTTCCCATCTGCAGTGGACAAACATATGGATCCCTTTGCTTTTCCCTGCAAGTGGGAAAGCAGATGGAGAGGTAGAAATGTTGGTGACAAAAATAGAAATCAAATTTGATCAACAAGGTTTCAGTTAAGTAGAACAATATTTCTTCTAGTTGTTCAAATAACTGTTCACAGTTAAATGTTATATCTTTTAATTCCTTTAATCAATAGAAGATGTGTGAAGAGTTTAAATTTGCTTATATGAAGGAGCTTGTCCACAGATAGATAGACTACAAAGAACTCTCTTTGTATGTTTGTACATACATTTAGAGACAGGTGGGGAGAGGGGGAGGGGAGAAAGAGTGCATAGCATAGCATAGCATAGCATAGCATAGCATAGCATAGCATAGCATAGCATAGCATAGCATAGCATGTGGTTAGTTTAGTGGTTGGAACACTGCCATATCATGTGGGAAACCGGGTTTCAATTCTGTTGGTACTTACCTTACCAATAAGGATCCTTGGGTAAAGACCCCCTAACACTTTACCTGCCTACCTCGAATATGAGAGTCATGTTAGCTCAGACCTCACTTAGATTAACAAGATTTTGGGCAACCAGGATAAACTGACAATAAGTGGGCTACTGAAAGAAATCATACAAGATGAGTCAAGAGAACCTGGAATTAACCTAACCCTATACAACGAGAGGAATACATGAAATATTTGAGGGTAGTATGAATGGATAGAAGAAATACATAAGAACTATTTACCCAATGCTTTAACAACACTTCACCATAGTGAGGAGAAATATGTTCTTGAACCTCCTCAAACAGATAATTACAAGGACTGGATACAGATACAAGTTCAAGAATGGAGTTACCATCAGCCATCTCCATTATATCACGCTGTATGCTAAGAGTGAACAAAACATTGACTTGCCACCCAGATTGGAGAAGTGCGACCTGATGGTAGTAAAGAGAGGAAATGTAGTTAAGACTGATGGAGTAGAACTGGCTCAGAAATTCTGGGAGTTGAAGTCCACAGGTCGTAAAATTGCCATAATTGCCCATCTCTGATCTAGAACAATATGTGTTGGCTGTTGAACTGGTTGAATTTAGAGATTACTGGGCCACTGATTTATTACATAGAAGTGGGAAAGTATCAAAGGAACCCAACATAGCCACATTTTATTTCAAAAAGGAATTTATTTAAAAGAAATTCTAATGAAAGGATTAATGCAAAATAACTTTAAAGAGGAAGCCAGTAGGGTTAAGTACTTTTCAGCAGAAAAGCTTAACTAACATATATATCAAATCCAGGATAAGTAACAGAAACTCTAATATTACCCTAAAATGCAAGATAGTATAATAATCTTAAATTACAAGAAGGCCAGTTTTGCTTAACATTACAAAAACTGTCTAAAATCATTTAACCACAACAGTATAGTTGAATCAATCATTATTGTGACCAGTTACTGAATGTTTTCAAATACGGACTGGATGGCAGAAGTATTTTAATTTGGATTACTGCCCTGGTTAATGGTTTAAATTACCCCATTCAATTCTATTAAGCTTGAGCTCAAGAGGTCATGAGAATAATTAATCAACACTATCAAAGAACAGAAAAAAGTTGATATAATTCATTGGAAAGATAGTCCAAATAAGAACAAAAAGGAACAGTTTTTATATTATTAAAAAAAAATTGTTTTAAAAATGTATTATTTATAATTAAGGCTAAAAATATTAAAATAATTTAATATGTCAGGGGCAATAAACTCTGAAGATAATTCCCTTGATATATTATAAGAAGATTAAAAGAATTCTAAATTAGAATAAGGGATTGCAAAGAAGTTTAATACATTCTTTCATCTGTGTTCATTCCAGAAGATGTATGGCAAATATGCAGAATATATTTTCATTAAGGGAATTTAAGGAACTGAGATGACAAGAATCAATTTCTAGATCATCTTGAGAAATTGAAAATCAACAGATCAATAAATAATAATCCAAAATTTTTAAAAATTCAAATGAGCAATTGCTGGTAGGCCTGATAAATATGAAAGAGATCCCTAATTTGGCATCATGCGAAGGAATAATTAGGAAAAAAATTAAAATTAAAACTTCTATTATCATACTCTGTTAAAGAACTATGTCATGTGATCACACTACTTTTTATTTCTATAATTTTTTATATTAGATTTCAAGTAGAATATTGTAAGATGGAAACAATGTAAGACAGACAATCAAGATTATAAAATATGTTTGTCATGTTTTGTGTCACCTACAGATAAGGAAGATATACTTCATTGAAAGCCTTTCAGTTATATATTTTTATACTTTTTTCTGTAGTATTTGCTAGGAAGCATTAATGATGGGGTTTCTATATACTTTTCACAATAAACTTTTCAAAAGGGGAGATAAAGGTTTCAAATTCTCAGTTTCTCAGCTAGGCTTAATCAAATATTTTTCATAGCATTATTAAATATGTTCATTACAGTTTTGAATGTAATAAACATATATTATGATATTGCTTAACTGCTTCTAAATTTTATAGCTCCTGAAAAATACAGTGTTTCTTATTTTCATTTTTATTTTATTTATTTTATTTTATTGAATTTGTATACCGCCCTACTCCCGAAGGACTCAGGGCGGTGAACAGCCATAGAATAAAACATATAAATACAAAATTTAAAATAAAATAAAATGAATTAAATAATTTGGCTGAACAAATTTAAAACCCCAATAATTTAAAACCAAATTTAAAATTTCCATTTAAAAAGGGGAAAGACTTAGGTCAGGCCAGCTTGATGAAATAAGAAAGTCTTAAGCGCGCGATGGAAGGTACGCAGTATTTTGAAAAAATACTGGGGGTAACTTTGAATTTAAAAAGTGACTGCATTTACTTAATGTAATTAAGAAATATCTGAAATTGATGAACTATGCCGATATATGAATAACTAATATCCGCAACCGAAATTGGAATTGTCAAGCAAATCTTTATTGGTGAATTCATTAAGGTGGGGCCTCTTTGAAATGTTTGCATTTCTTTTTTCCAGGCTGTTTGCATGACACCTAGTTGTCAAGTAAGGCAAGATAGGCTACATAGAGGGGTAAAAACGTACAGTAATCAACAAAAGAATTGAAATAATGAAGCAACATACCAGAGAAAGGTTAAGGCTTAAATCGGGTAATAATCAAGCAGGTTCACCAGTTCACCAAGGTTCACCTTGGCTCAGTGCCTGCTGGAAGAGCCATTTTAAGGCCTTCCTAAAAAGTCAGAACCATAAAATAGCTTTGTGGGGAATGCTCTTCCACACAGCACAGTCAGCCCAGGATTTCATGGCCTTTTGGATAGCCATGGCTCTGTCTCAAATAGCAATGGATTGTCATGGTCTCATAGTATCATCCTCTCTGAAAGGCAAGGGAGCATCCTAATATTGGGTGCCATGACAGAAAAAGCTCCCTTCCCTGCTCCAACCAGATGGCAGTCCTTAATTGACAGGCACATTCCTGCTTTACCTAATGGGACAGAGTCATAGGAGCTCTTTCTTTCTTTCTTTCTTTCTTTCTTTCTTTCTTTCTTTCTTTCTTTCTTTCTTTCTTTCCAATAACCAGACCATTGACCCAGCTTTAGTTTCCACTTTCCTGTTTCTTTTCTTTTATTCCTGGCTGGGCTTCTTGATTCTTTGCTCTTCCAAATCTTTTCTCCTTCTGAGGGAAATAACTTGAAGATTTACCTCACACCACTCAGAGGATTCAGGATAGTGTATAAAAGGATAATAGACGTAAAGGTAAAGGTTCAGATTCCCCTCATACATATGTGCTAGTCGTTCCCAACTCTAGGGGGCAGTGCTCATCTCCATTTCGAAGCCAAAGAACCAGCGCTGTCCGAAGACATCTCCATGGTCATGTAGCCAGCATGACTAAATGCCAAAAGCGCATGGAATACTGTTACATTCCCACCAAAGGTGGTCCCTATTTTTCTACTTGCATTTTTTATGTGCTTTCGAACTGCTAGGTTGGTAGAAGCTGGAACAAGTAACGAGAGCTCACCCCGATACGTGGCACTAGGGATTCGAACCGCTGAACTGCTGACTTTTTGATCGACAAGTTCAGCATCTTAGCAATTGAGCCACCACGTCCACCTGATAATAGACTAAAAATGATCAAAATCAATTCACTTCACTAAAATCAACATGAAATTAATTTAAAAACAGAAAGTCACCCATTATTTATAGCTAGATGTCAAATATTTCTAGAAAGTATGATTTTAAGTATCTTCATAGATGCCAGAAGCACAGGGGTTTAGCGCATCTCAGGGGATTTCTTATTCCACAGAATGGGGGGAAGCCTTGGAAAAGGCTTCCCACATCGATCACATCTTCTTCTCCAAGTGAAAAATGCTCAGCACACCGGTTTAAATGGGCCTAATCATGTGAGATAAAGGGGGTCCCTGAATTTATTGATTACTTTATTTATCAATAAATAAAGTACTTGGTACTGTTTTAATTACAGCCGTGCTAGCTTAGGGATTCTGGGAGTTGAAGTACACAGGTTGCAAACTTGCCATCGTTGCTCACCCCTGTGATATACGAAGTTCTGTGTGCATATATTACGCAAATGATCTGCTCTTTTTCTCCATCTCTCACTGTCAGAGTTCCAAAATAAGCTGAGCGTGTGCTGGAAGTTTCAGCTGAGCCTGGAGGTGGTTCTGATATTAGATACCCTCCTCCAAGGTCAGAGAGAGAAATCTGAAAATCCTTTTGGCTTCTGAGATAGCCAGACCCAGTTGTACTGCCATTAATTCCAGGGGGCTTTGTTTTGTTTTGTTTTTTTCATCTCATGATCTAGAAATTGAAACCAAGTCTGTAAAAACAGCAGGTCATTTTTTTCAAGCATCTTTTTATCTGCTTTTCCTGTCTTTTGTTTTGCAGAATGACTGTAATCATATGAAACACAACAGAGTACATTCTTACCTCCCAGGCAGAACGGCATACGTGCCATTCTTCAAGTGTGAAATGGGAGGAAAGTCAAAATGGGTCTAAATATACAATTTATTTTTCACTTTAAAACAAGAAACAGAAAGTGCATTTTTAGCCTTTATGCTTATGAAACCATGCAGGCAATGCTTTGATCAAATCTCAGAGGTCAGATTTCTAGTATTCAGTTCTTCATGCCCCACCACCACCAATCATTAGCAGAAGCAAAGCAAATTATGCAAAGGAACAAGCACTGCGGAATAAATGTTGGACAAGAGAATTAAATTCAATGCTTTTGATGTTTTGGTATTACACTTGGAGTTACTTAATTCATAATTTTAAACTCAGAGTTTTGCTTATTGGTGAATGTTTAGATGCTGTCCTTTTTAAATTTCAGGCTTATCAATGAATCTCTAAGAGACCAATTACTTGTTACTATCCAGAAAACCTTCACCTACACTCGGACACAGGCTCAGCATCTCTTCATAATCCTTATGGAATGTATGAAAAAGAAAGAACTGGTAATGCAAATCTATTTAGTAGCATAATGTTCATATTGGTCTGTTATGTGAAAAATGTTTGAAACTTGGCTTTCCGGGGTCATTTCGAACATAATTTCAGGTCTCAATTGCACGACACATGGCTAAGTCAAACTTATATTGTCTCAAAATTGTAATTTAAAATCAGGATTTGAAAAGTGGGTTTGCATATCTTGGTCCTGTGCAATCCTTGTTTACCTTACCCATAGTTAATGTTAATACTGAATAACACTAAATTACCATATTTTTCAGAATATAAGACACTCCAGAGTATAAGATTTACATTAGTTTTTGGGGAGGAAAACAAGAAGAAGAAAAAATCTGCCCTTGCCTACCAGCATCCATCGATATTCATCTGGCTAGCATCCTTGCACCAAACAGCCTGGTCAGCTTTAGCACGTTATCGCAGCCTGATTCAGCACGAGCAGCTGATTGGCAGTTGGATCGGCCTGCCAGAATACTGCAAAACAGCTGTTCCAGGCTGCAGAGATCATCAAAGCCCATCACCGCCTCAGCGTGTTGCATTTTTGGCCTCCGCGGGTCACATTTATGGCCTCCGCATGTCGCGTTTTCGGCCTTTGCATGCTCCATTTTAGACCCGTTCCAGGCTGCTGGGATCATCGCCTCCGCACATCACATTTTTGGCCTCTATGTGTTGCGTTTTGGGCTACCACCAATCCCTGCCGCCTGGAACTGCCCGAAAATGTGATGCACGGAGGCCATAAATAGGGCATGAGGAGGGCGAAAACACTACACACAGAGGCTGAAATGCAACACGCGGAGGTGGCGATTGGTGGCAATGTGCTGTGGCAATCCCCGCAGCCTGGAACAGATCTAAAATGGAGCATGTGGAGGCTGAAAACACAATGCACAGAGGCCGAAAATGCAATGTGCAGAGGCCGAAAACGGCTGAAACGTGGGGGTTGGCAGGTGGGCGGGACTATGACAACATTCGCTGTATAAGACGCACAGACATTTCCACCCACTTTTAGGGGGGAAAGTTCGTCTTATACTCCAAAAAATACGGTAAGTATTGTTCAATTATGGCTGAAGGAAGCCAAATTTATGTTCTTGAGCCACAAACATGAACATTTAACTGAGGGGGACTGAAAGAAGCAAGAGATCTGTGCATTCCTTGATCTCAGCAAAATCTCTTGGGAGGCCTCTAAAAAGCACAATTGACTGGCTGTTGGCTGTGGCTAACCACTTTTGTCGTAGAACGAACAGTGTTATTTGTTTGATTAAAGCCTCTTGTGAATTTAATTAATGTTGAAAACTTAATTAATGTTGGTAATGATATTAAGCACCTGTTTGAATTTGAAAACCCTAAAGATAAAATGCTCACCAGTCACTCTCTTGTAATTCATGTATAAGCAATTGCATAAGTCTGGATTTGCATTTCAGTTGGTCCTCTATTTTTACCTTACATTTACATTTTGTATTACACTCTTTTGCAGTGCGGTTGGCTTCTGTTGATTAAGCAGCATCGTTCTGTTAAATTGTTTATGCTTATATAAATTTAGGTGGCAGATGCATAAAAATTCATGTTCAGAAACTAAGAGGGCTCTTGAATCCCAGGGGTATGTCACTATATTAAGGAAGTACAAAAAACCAAATTTTATTAGACTCCAGATAAAGGGAAACAAAAACATTGCACCTATATTTGGTATGTATGAGATACATGTACTCTCTTTGCTAAGAAAAAAGTTCCAATTTTGATTTCCAAAGTATTGTTACAAAGTCCCATTTTAAAAAGAAACTGTTAATAAATTCCACCTGTTTTTTCATCTATACAGTATGTCACAACTAGTGGGAATATATAAGGAAAATGTTAAGTTAAAGACAAATTTGGCCCATCACAATGTTAATTGTGAATCTGAATTGGCTTCCTTTTTTCATCTCAAAAAATTCAAAACCCATGACCAAGCAAGATATGATGCTGAACTTTGGAAATGGTTGAGGGCTTTATTATAATTAACAGCAGACACGGAGTGATTTTAATTATTTATTTATATTCCACCTTTATTATTTTAATAAATAACTCAAGGTGGTAAATATACCTAATATTCTTTTCTCCTCCTATTTTCCTCACAACAACCCTGTGAGGTGGGTTGTAATGACTGGCCCAAAGTCACCCAAAGTATAAAAGAGAGTGACTGGACCAAAGTCACCCAGTTTTCATGCCTAAAATGATCTAGAACTCACAGGCTCCTGGTTTCTAGCCTGGTGCCTTAACCAGTAGGCAAACTGGCTCTAATCCAAATTTCAATAGAAAATTCAGCAGGCACATAGAACAGTTTAATCCTTTCCATAATCATTCATCCCTGTGTTATGGTTAGGTATTAGCATATTAGTAATATTAGCATAAATTAAATAAGATTTAGCATTGTAATGGAGTATTGTGCTTATTAATATAGTAATAATATACTTAGTTGCTACCACCATTAAATTCACTGTTTGTCAGTCATGCTCTGAACCCTTTCAAGGTGGTTATAATGATATATTCAGCTGTTTATAGTTTAGGTTAGGTTAACTCTGGTCTTACATTTTTAGCTCATCAATGGGGTGTAACAGAATCAAAAAGTCCTGATAATATAACAAGACTGTGCCCTGGGCAACTCACTAGGACTTGCCCAGTCACAATCCAACTCTGAGCAAATCTGAGTGATTTTGTCTGCCAGACAGACTGAATATTCCCCACCATGACCTGCAGGTGATCCTATGGCCCAGCCCCCTTCCTCAATTGGGAGTGGGGCACCCTAAACAGGGCTGTTGGGTGGATATTGGCAGATACAATAAGAGTGGAGAAATAACAAGTTTTCACTGTCCTTATGGGCTCTTACTCTTGTTCAGTCAGATTCGTTTTTGTCTTTCTCCAGCAGCACTCCAGGAGTTTCTTCTGGCATTTCATCTCCCGGTATTCAGTGGAAAACCAAGAGGGAATGCCAGGATCAGTGCAGAGAAAAAGGCTGTATAAGAGAATCCAGTCCATAGTTTCAGTCACATGGCTATTCCAGCCTGCAGCCAAGTCCTCAGGTTCCAAGTTCCCTCTGGAACCCAATAGGGTTTATTAGTCTCCTGGGGTGGGCCAAACTGACAAGCTCTTTATACATATTATAAAGTCACTTCACTTTGTGATTTTCTGAATCAAACAATTATCAGGTTTTCAAACTTGGCACTCTGTCATTCAAAATACAAAAAGTTCAGCAAAGGAACAAGGTCTTATTTTACACTTAACCAAAGTGTGCTTGGTTACTTTCTCAACTTGCTGATATATAAAAAAAAGCTATTTATCAGCAATCGGCCTCTAGTTCTTTTCATAGCTTCATTTTCTTCTGAAACAGAATATTGCGAGTCTCCCTTTGACTCATGTTTTTCTTTATCACGCTGTGCTCTTTCTTCCTGTCCTTCACAATGACTCTATCAAGAAAGCTTATCTTGTTTAGATGTTTCCATTGGATCAATAGATCAGATCTTATCATATGACAAGTACATTTTTGAAGATGGTGAATAACTAATTCTTTGACAAGTGAAATGTCATGCATAAATTAAGTGGCAGTCCTTGATATAGGAAAGTGAATGTGTGCTTCAGGGTGAAGGATATTTTTGCTTCAATGTTAGGAAACTATTTTGCTTATTTCTTTTCTTCGGTTGGACATATGAGAATGCTTTAATCTTCCAGATATTCTAAATATCAGTGTTAAAATATTTGCTCCATGACAGTTTATTATCTATTTATTATTGTTGAATTTTTTAAACCAGGCACAAGGTGACCAAAGCACAAAGGGACTATGTGCCACCTGGTCCAAAAGTTTTCCTGGTCATAACTGCCACCTGCTCTTTGAACAGAAACTGTTGGTTCAGGAAAAATCAGATTATTCACCAATCCCAAGACATCTAACGATCCAAAAGGCCACAGACAACCAGTCTTATCTCTATCCAGATTCTCCCAGCTTTGTGACACTGAGATAAGACAATGACCGCATTCCTTAACATAGGATCAAGACTGGGCATTATCAGCATACTGAATGGATGACCTTAACCAGTGGCTTCATATATATGTAAAATATGCAATCAAACACGCCCAATCCAATAAGAGCCCCACTACCCACTGAGTCCAAGTTTAGGAGGAAAACATATTTCTAAGAACTGTTTGAACAAAAGCAGAGTAAAGAGAGAAACCCTATGATAAGAGTATTGAACGCTGTATCACCCCAGATGTGAGAGACTTTAGGCTTGATCTCTCCCCTCCTCCACAGAAGGGAGAACCACCACAAGCATCATGTTTCCCACTCTGAAGCCAGTCCTGAATGATACAATGATCAATGAAGTTGAAAATCACTGAGAGAGAAAGGAGAATCAGGACTGTTGCTCCACTCCTGTCCCAGTTCTGCCCAAAGTCATCAACAAGTGCAGTTGATATTTTATCAGGATTACGCCAAAGTCTGAAGCCTAGGTGAAAGGGCTAGTTACTCTACAGTGGTGGGTTTCAAAAAATTTTACTACCGGCTCTGTGGGTGTGGCTTGGTAGGCATGGCAGGGGAAGGTTACTGCAAAATCCCCATTTCCTCCCAATCAGCTGGGACTTGGGAGGCAAAGAATAGATGGGGGTGGGGCCAGTCAGAATTTTTACTACCAGTTCTCCGAACTACTCAAAATTTCTGCTACCGATTCTCCAGAACTGGTCAGAACCTGCTGAAACCAATCTCTGTTACTCTAGTCCCATGATGGCGAACCTATGGCACGCGTGCCACAAGTGGCACACAGAACCCTCTCTGCGGGCATGCCAGCCATCGCCCCAGCCCAGCTCCATTGCACATGCGTGTGCACCTTCCAGCAACCAGCTGGTCTTCGGGTCTCTGCCACACATGCACGGGAGGTTGGGTGCTTACGTAGGGGATGGGGTGCATACACAGGGGTGCAGGTTGGTGCAGGAGGCCTTCCAGGCCCAAAATGGGATGCGGGCGGGCCCATGCGCCCCC